AAAAATACTACTCTGCACACATAAAACAATAAACATCTATTACATACTTTGCATGATTCAAGCAAATTTCCACAACATGCAGTTGCCTGCCTTAATAAAGGCTGCATAGGCATGCCTCCAGATTTTTATGGAATTCCTGGTAGAAGACAAAGCAGTAACTTTTGGCAAATATATCACTACTTCAAATTACACTTGTAAAGTATCACATACCATCATATGTATCTCTTGAGACCATACTTTTCTCTAAAAGAGGGGTACTATAACTAGGAAAATAAGAACTTTCTCTATTCATTAATATTTAGATTAATATTTTAAGCTTTTACTAGCTTTGTGACTTTTAACCAAGATATCTGTCCATTACAGGCTATCAAAACAACAATATTGTATTTCACCTCTAACAATGCTAAATGCATTCCACACATGCAATCTCTGGGGCTCTGGGAATTTTCAATTCAACGTAAACACAAATCCAAAACAGAATGAAAAATAGACATTTCTTTCCTACATATATTCCTATAACATATACTACTTTCAAATATGAGCACTCCCAAATCTCCTTATGTTAGATGTTAAACAATTCACTTCTTGATGCACCACAGCAGAAACAAGATGATCCTTGTGAAAAGGATGCATAGGTGCAACCATGCCTGAAACAGCCACACAAATAAAACATGGGCTTTTTGTAATGGCAAAGAAGGAGAGAATTCACTTTAAGCAAGTGGCAATATCAGGGATGAAATGGAAATAATCATTTATAGCAGCAGATTTAGAAAAAGAATCTTAAGTCTTCTTAGATTACCAAGACACAGAAGAAAAAGTGAACTTCATCATAAGAAACCTCAAAAAATTAGATCCTTCAAACTAACTAATAAGGATCCCAATTATTATCCAGTTAAAGGAGGGAAGTAACAAAAGAAACAAGTAACAAAATTTAAGTTCACGTCAAAAGCTGTATTTTCAAGGTCAAATGAAGCAATGACACCAGAAAGTCCCGATATAAGGATCAGATGAGAAGCTGAAAGCATTTGAACCTATCTGTAAAAGGACTGCCTGTGGGACATCATAAAAAAGCAGATACCATGCACAAATCTATGGGGATGTCAAGGGTAAGGTCTTCATTGCATCATTAGAGAACTTCAAACTGTATTGCCAAGTAAATATTTCTAGGAAGTAATAACCTGAAACATGAACACCTCTGAGTCCTTGTTTAGTAATTCTGAAGTATTTATTCCTTAATTAACAGCATGTATTGAACATATTTGAAATGCTGCTCCAGACACTCCAAGAGCTTAGATCATGTGATTGTCCAAACATTATGTGCTTCTAATAGCTTCATATAAATTTCTTTGCTAGTGGGTTTGCTACAGAGGAGTAACAGATAAAAAAAGTTTCTACTATTTTGGCATTGACACTAGTAAGATTTGATGATGATACCTGCATAAAACTTTGCTACGCCTCTCCATTCACAATTATTTCCCTCCAGCAGTTCCAAGTCTATTTCATGTACAAATTTATGACAAAGACCAAACAAGGCTACTTGCAACTCTAAAAGTTTTGAGAAGGGATAGAATTTCAACCTCTAACTTCGCAAATTTCAGGTACCTACTCCACATTTGAAACTTACAGAAGAGTACTATGAGGGTCTGTGCATTACAAACACTACCCTTTAAGTGCAGACTACTAGGCACTCACTGAAGTGCAGCCCAGAAAAAATCTGGGCAAATGGCAGACTTCTAATAGCAGCATTTTTGGTGTATGCTCCAGTTGTAACTCACACAACTGGACACTAAAGAATGGCCATTTGAGACAAAAAGAAGAAAACCCATATGAACTTAGCCAAATAGTTAGCAGAGGTGGCTGTAGATGCTTTCTCACAAGCCACTGTCACATTTACAGAGCTGCTCTTGCAGCACTCCCCACAGTCCATAATGTTCTGTATGATAACCTGTTTTTTGGCAATGCAACACCAAAATTATCATCTGTAGCAAATAAACTGCCACTGAACATTCAGAAAGCAGTGAACTCCCCAGTGCTAAAACCACTGGTGTCTGACACACTGATGACTGCTCAACACCTCCAACTTCAGGAATGGTAGAGAAATCAGAAACTCCTGGTTTTCTTTTCTATAGAAGTTTTTCTACTTCAAAACTGAGTGCATGTGGCAGTATAGAATATATCCATACCAACTGGCCTCTCCATCAGTTTGCCTTTGTAAGAGGAATAATAGTTAACATTTATCCCATGAAACTCCTCTGTATATCTTGCCACTTGTCTGCTGTCATCCATGTTGAATCTTGTATTCAAGTGAGCAACTCCAGAATTCTTAATTCACTTTAAGCTTGAAGTCTTTTATTTCACAGCTCCTTAATTAGTTTTTAGAATGTTGGAATGTTAGTATGTTGGAAGTTGAAGGTGCAATTTATTTCAATAAAATGAACAAATGTTTCTTCTTGGAAACAGTTTGATGAAGAAAAAATGTCTATCCAGATTATACTTGAAGCTCAGCCTCTCCAGCTACCTGTTTCTCAGCCAATTTCAGTACTCATACAACACACAAGGCTGGTTTGGTGAAGCATTTTTCAAATCATAGCCTCTGTTTCGTTCAAGACAGACTCCATTCTACCAATCTTTCTTCAGGCTTCTTTTTGTGAAACTCAAGCACCCAGCATAGGCCCATAAGCAGCCTGTCAATGTCAGGACATTTTCATCGTTTGCAATTCTATTGTGTTTCTTACTTAGGACATTCCTTCCAGCAACAGCTTCCTTGATGCTTATTTCTTCTGTTTAGTCACGGTAATTCCATAATTTACATGAGAAGAGTCATTTGTTATCCAGCTTTTTAAGATAATACTCTTCCTTCATTTCTTTGTGTCATTCACATAAGCATTTGCACAACATATTATCAGAACAGGTGACAGTTTTGCACCACTTTGGTTCTTCTTACCTTCTTGTGAAAATTTAAGAACTCCTCCAGCTGTAACAAATTTCCTCTATATAATCAGTTTTGGAACAATAGCAGGTGGGTTTTTCCCAAACCTAACTTCAAATCCACAGGGGTTTTTTTTGGTACCAGTTGGAAAATGGAAAGTAGACAATGCACTTCACCAAGTTTGGCCATAGATAGCTAATACACAGTCCCTGTCATTTTAACCAAGGCAAACACATGACAAGTAAAGAGAAAAAAATACTCAGGATAAGTGTTTCTTCTTTCAACTGCACAATGAACTCTAGTATGGAAGCATGCAAGTAGCTTGGGAAAGAAGTCAAAAGAGTAAAAATAATTGTCACCAAAAATACAGTATGTCTGCAAATCTTTAGAATGAGGAGTAAGTATGTACTGTGAAATCATTCAAATACAGAACCAACTCGCAATCAAAAGGAGGGAACAGCTACAAGCTTACTGTTGCTGTGATTCATTATCAAACAGATGTTTGAACAGCACTAATGTTTTAATTCTTATGATGCATCTCATTTCTCATTCAGCTACAGATCCCTATTTCTGCTATATTTATAAAGAACATCTGGGAATGGACCAGTATTGTTCATGACCTCAAATATCAGAAGACAATGATGATATTGCCTCTTACACTACCTTGCAAATTCCTGAGCTTCTATCTATATCCTCTTTCCTATTTCCAAGTATCTCACCTTGAAATACATCATTAAACTCCAGAGTCTGTGTTTTTTCTGTTCCTCCCAGAATTTCCCACTTATACTCATAGACATATGAGCAATAACATCTCTTGAATCAATCAAGTGTAAGTATACGGGTTTTGGGTCTCACAGATTTTCCCACTCTGTAACTTTTGATTAGGCAGTCTGACTACGACATACTTTACATGCTAAAATTAAAGACTGAATGAATATACTAACATAGACACTCACATATATGAAGAGGCTCATACTTGGGAGCTCCTCAGATATTCTGAAGCAAATCTCTAGCTGTTCCAAGTATTTCTTTCTCTGAAGAAGGCGTTTTCTTTACGAATTTCTGCAAACACTTTACATATCCGAGTGGTAATCTGTGGTCAGAACTCTGGCAGGATGGAGAAGGTTTCCTAACTCACTTATGGTGACCAGCCCATAGTAGAATGTCAACCTGGAGCTCCTACTTTTCACCTGAGTCCTCACGTCACATTCCAACAAGTACAACCTCCACTAATACCTATCGATTAGCTCAATTGCCATCACACTTCCTCTTTCCTAAACAAGTTTTTCCAAGACCTTCACCAGCTTCCACAACAGGACGCTTGTTTGCACTTTTTTTCTAAGGCGAAACTGCCTTTAACAAAACTAAGCGATCCATTAGACCTAATCTAAGAGGGCTAGGGAAAAAAACAATCAAAAACATTAGGAAAGAAGCTTCAAAGGGAAGGAGTTTATTCCACACCTTCTACAGCGACTTGTACTTTTCAAATACACTGACAGAGGCTACTGTGTCGGCACATGAGCGTAACAAAACTTCCCCGCGGTAATTAGCAAGTAAGTGGCATCAGCAGAGCCACCCGGGCTGCCCACGGCCCCGACAAGTGGAGTTGTTATTGCTCGGCCTCCCCGGTCCCCGCCCAGGCCGGCGGATGACACCTGCAGGACTCCCCTCAGAAAGAGCCCGTCCTGCCGCTACGTTCCTGTGCCTTGTCACCGTATCAGCCGGTGCTCGGCTTTCCGCCGGCCCGGGGCCAGAGCCTGCCGGCTCCCCGATAACGCCTGTCCGGCCCACACCGGGAGCCCGGCTCTCAGCGCCCCGGTCCTGGGAAAGCACGCTAGTTCTGCCTTCCCTCCCAAGGTGGGAAATTTAAAAAATAGCGATTAAAACAAACCGAGCCACAGCACAACCCCGCCGCCAGCCTTGGCGATGGCGAGCAGCTCCTGTCCCGGCAGCTCCACGGCCGGGCACCCGCACCCCGCCCACGGCACCCGGTCCCGACAGCTCCCGTCCCCACACGGGCTGGAGCGGGCAGCACCCCCGGGCAGCGGCAAGAGGGAGAAGGGTCACTTACTGGGCGTGCAGTGCATCGCTGAGGCTTGCGAAGAGACGGGCGAGGAGGGAGGCGCCGCCGGCGGCGGCTCCTTGAGGGCGGCGGCAGCCGCGGGGGTCAGGACGGGGGGCAGCATCAGGTACCGGTCCGGCGGCGGCAGGCAGCGCTGGCACACCGAGTGCAGGCACGGCAGCAGCTTCGGCTGCCGGCTCTGGATGGGCTGCCCGCACACGCCGCAAGTGTCCAACAGGTTGAGCGGGGCCGCGTCCCCGCCGCGCTCCGCCGGGCCCTGCCGGCTCTCGGCTTCGTTCTCCCCGCTCAGCGCCGCCGCTGCCCCCGGTCGGTCCGCCGGGCACGGGCCCCCCGCCGCCGCCGTCGCCGCAGCTGCTAACGCCGCTGCCGCCTCTTCCATTGTCCTGCGCCGACCGCCGCCGGAGAGCCGAAGGGAGGCGGAGCAGCCCCGCCGCTTCCCGCCCGCGCCGCCGCCGCCGCCTACCGGCCCCCGCCTCACGGTGCTCGCGCGCCCGCCCCGGCAGCGCCTGCCCCGCCGCGCCGCCAACGGCCGCCCGCGCCCCGCCCCGACCCCGCCCGCGGCCCCGCCCCGCTGCGTGCGGAGAGCGCTGCCCCGCCCGCCCCGTCCCGCGGGCCCCGCCCCGTCCCGCGGACCCGCCCTCTCCCCGGCACCCGCGGCCCCTCTCTCTCACCTGGGTGGTACCTGGCTCTGTCCGGGTGAGAGGAAGGCTGGGAAGTTCCTCTTGAATTTGAGGAAAAACTTCTTCGCTGTGTGGGTGACCGTGCTCTGAAGCCTCGGGTTGCCCAGGAAGGGTGTGGAGTCTCCCTCGCTGGAGATGCTCAAGAACTGTCTGGATACGGTCCCGTGCCGTGTGCTCTAGAATGACCATGCTTGAGAACGGAGGTCGGCCCAGATTGACCCTTCCAATCTGACTCATTCTGTCATTCGGTGAGAGATCTTTGTCCCTTGGACAACACATTAAAAGAGGTCACCCTTCTCCCTGCCTTATGTGCAGGTGAGAGGCTGTGAGTTTTGGCCTGTATTTGGCTTGGCAGATCACAGCAATACCACCGCGTTACCTGACTGAAGCTAATTGGTGATTTGTACAATTAAAAATATACAACAGAAAAGTACAATTCTTATTTAAGCACAACATTGTATTGAATCAAAGGCCTTAAGTATTGTGCTGGTGTGACATTGGAGCAGGTTGCCCAGAGAATTGTGGATGTCCCAACCCTGAAAGCGTTCAAGGCAATGTTGGTCCGATACTGAAATCAGACAACAAACTTTCTAACACAATTTTAAGTATCAGACAACAGACATTCTTTATTACAGTGCTGGACACATCAGAAGGATAGTTCTGTTAATGTGATGTGCATCCAGAAGGTACAACAAGTTATTTATTCCATCATGATCATACATATTGATTACAGTGTACTTCTGGCTAATACATAAACATCACTTTTCACAGAACTAGTTTGCATGCATCTGCCTCCTTCTCTCCTACTCAAAGTCTTTTAATGTCCCTAGAGGGTTGTCTGTAGGGGTCTTTGTGCCCCCAATATTACAGATGACCTTTCCTTGAACTTCTCTTAGGGCATGCACTGCTGCTTCTTTTTACATAACTTGGCCCAAGAAGCCACTATATTCCTCATTATCAGTTTATCTACTGGTTCGAGCTCCGTTTATCATCCTGTGTGCACACTTCCACATTCTTTTATCATTTTTTGTTAGCTGATCTATTCAGCAGCTTCAGGGGAACTGAAAATTTGTCTTCTCTGTGTTATCTATCAGGACAGGACTTTGAGCAACCTGGTGTTGTGGAAGGTGACCAGCCCATAGTAGAGTGGTGTGGAAGCAGATAATCATTAAGGTCTCTTCCAACCCAAACACTTCTGTGATTCTGTGAGCTTCTATGAAGTATGCATGCAGACACAAAGCTAGATCTAGCATGTTGGTTGCTACATCGACCATAAACCAGATCCAGGCTCCTCAGAATATTCCAGATGTCTGTGCTTAAATTCCCAGAGCAGCTAGTATACTTCCCACTTCCTTGCAATTTCTTTAAGACCCTAACATAGGTCCTGTAATAAATAGGACCATAAAAAAGCCGTAAATGACAAAATTAAAATTTCTTCAGCACCAGGAACAACTGTGTACAGGAGCAGCGTCATGATTCAGCGTGTCTCACAAGCATAATTTATCATGGTAACAGGAGAACAATACTACAGGTTGTACTGGGGAGGAAGAACAAATTTGGCATTACAATGAGGAAGTGTTAAGAGGGAAATGTCATTCTCTGATTAAGAATATCAGTGGAGGGGACAAGCCATACATTCGCAACCCCTGACCTGCCAACACATAAGGAAAAAATGCTTCCAGAAGCACTTTCTTAAAGTATACCTTCTGCCTCCCAGTCCAGCTGCCTCTACCTCTTTCAGTAAGAGTGACCAAGTGGTAGGAGAGAGTCCTGTAGTTTCCTCCCCCCACCGGTTTGGTTATTCAACACCCTATGATGATGTGCTAACAATCCATTGTGGCAGGAGCTTGCAGGCTGAGAGCATGCCAAGTGTGAATGATGAAATGGATTCTGGAATTAAAGTTAAGGAGGATGGTACAGGTTCTGCAAGGTGAAAATTACCAAAAAATGCCATTAGAAAGGGTCTATTGAGGAATAGGCAATAATTGAAGAATGGTTGATTAGTATTGAGAGCAAACATGATCAGAAACTCATTAAATAATACATTTGTGAGGAGTAATAGCAAGTCATAAGATCATCAAACTAGGTAGCTTCTGTAACTAGTATGAACTATTTCTCTAACAGATGTCAGCACAGAAAAATAACAATACTGTGTAGTGGTACAAAGATTACCCTGTGAAAGAACTGAGTAGAGGCTTTGTTGAAAATTATGATCCCTGTGAGGCAGTGTCCCAAAGATTAGTAAAATAATAGGATTATGTTTCCTGCAAAGTTTGTTTGCTTAGGATGTTTGCAAAGCTTGCTCAAACTGTGCTGTAAAATCTGTAGTTGCATGGCATCAGAACAGCATCTGATTTAAAATGAAAGTTTGAACTTGCATTATTTGAGTTTGAATGCAGAGCCTTCCTGTTAGCGATGGCATCATATTAGGAGTACTTGGGACAGAAACAAAAAGGGCATGGAGGAACAGGAAAAAAAGCCACCCTGAGAAAACCAACCATTCAGTACATCCAGATAAGGGAGTGAGGAAAAAAGCTTTTAAATGTAACCACATTGTTCAGGCAAAGTGTGACAAGGATCAGGGAAAGAAGTGATATCCCGTTATACCGACCTGGGTGCACAGCTTTTGGCCACAGCTACACCACACTTGGCTACCAGGGATCACAGGCAGAGCTGGCTTGGGGCTGTTGGAAAAGGGCATGTAGACAAACCCACTACAGAGCAATACATGCTGTACTCGCTTTTGTCTGAAAACAGCTGATGGTTTTGTCTAGTTTCTGATGGAAGACGACTTGTTGGGCTCTCCAGTGTTCCACTGGAATGAGTCAAACCAATTAACAAAGAATGAGGATGGTGACAAGCTGTGAAATGAAAGATTTTCCAGAGATCACTTGAGCTAACAAAATGAATGTATCAAAAACGAATATAGCAAAAATGAATGTACCATGTTTGTAGAATCATGTGTTGAATTTTAAGAAACCTCTGCACAAAAGGCATAGGAAAGAAAACAAAGATCTTTAAAGCTTCTTGCAAAAAGACAAATACCGGAAAAGACCAGGAATGCAAGGAATTCAGACAAGGAAGCCCCTCTGTCTCCAAACATGTCAAGGATGATGGACTTATCCAGATAAGAGAGCAAAGGACCAAAAGCACAAGCGCAGAGGAGAAGAGTTCAAAAGTTCAGTGCAGAGGAAGATGATGGTTTTAAGCCTCAAAGACCACCAGGGACCCCCATAAAAGCCCCCCCAAAAAACCACGCATGCCCAGAAGGGCGTGGACCTATTTAGCATGAGAGGCGAAGACAGGCGGGGCCAGGGGTTGAATATGCATAGAAAAGTTGTGTAATGTATTGCATATGGAACACCTTTGTGAATAAAACTGGGGGGCAAACTTCAGCTCGGGGCACAAGATTTTGGAGAGTTATCTCACTTGTGCCAGATGCTGTCATACATACCCACTTCATAACTACATCGAGTTGTGGAGTCTATTTATTTATTCCGCGTATCGCTACAGCTGATAGCTGGAAATCAAGATGATTAGCTAGGAAACATCCAGAAGCTGAGGCTGCTTCTCTCTTCCCTTGCTATGCTACTCATTACTTCTGTTCACAATTTGTTTTAGTACCTCCTCTGTTTCTTCTGGACATCCCATTTAAAGCAAATTCCAGAAGCATTTTGCCTTCTGTTCAGACATACACTTTGTGGCTGCAATCTAGATCTTTGCCATTTGTAATCTATATTCCTGTGATACACTCCACAAAAAGTTCTCATTCAGAAACTTCAGCTGCAGAAAGAGATGGCTGCCAGCTGCGGTGAAGAACTTCTTAATGGCGATCTCATGACTAGAAGTTCCTTTCACTTAGAATTTACTTGTTGGCTCTAATTTCCTCCTTTTGTCCCTGGTTCGGGTTTGTCTCTTTCTTGTATTTCTAGATTGTCTAGCAGTCACTTGGTCTTGCAAATGCAACAGATGCAAATCTTTCCAGATTACGATCAACATCAGCATGTGCATTTCCTCCTCTTAAAACAGCCATGTGACACTAAACAGTCTCTTTCCTAAGTTTTTTTTACAGACTAAAATAAAACCATGGGGCTTTGCAGTGTGCCAGCCCAGTTTAACCTTTATGTGGCAAGAGTGAAGGAAGTGGGCAGGAGAGTCAGCACTCCATCTATGTCATTAAAAAATGTTTTTGACAAAGTAGTCATCCAAGAAATAGACCTGTCACCTTCCTGGCCACACTGTATTACAGCAACACGAAGCAGCCACTGGGAGGATGTGTCCCAGAAAATATAGCCTTTACTGGTCTGTATTCTTTTAAGAAATGGACATCTTAATGTGTAGTTGGTTTTCAAAACCTGTAAAATATAAAATATGTTCACTAGAAGTAAGATGAATGCATTAGGAATTAATGGTTAGGGAAATGTAATATATTAACCTTTCCAGCAATAGTAAAGTAGGAGAATTTATATACTAAAGCATCTGGAACAGGCAATGAATGAGCATAGTGCTGCCCAAACTGTGAAGGTTGAATTAGGAATTGATCTAGAATATAGCTTAGCTCTGTAGGCTGCCTTTTGGAACTCCACAGTCAAGAACCTATCAAGCTATACTTACTTGTCCTTTCAGTAAGGAGAGAGTGAGAAAAATTACCTACGATTTTCAACTTTCTGTTTTCTATACTTCACTCACCTAACATACAAAGAGACACACATAAAACTTTTCTTCCAGATTGGAGGATGTTTCTTGGAAACCTCTTTTGTGCCCTATTATTTATGCTCTTTACCCCAGTAAAATATTTCTCCAGCACCTGGCAAATAACAACTGAGACTTTCACAACTGAGAAGAGATTTGCTTGACCAGTCTCAGCTGGAAGCTCACCACAGATAAGGCTGGGTCCAGCACTCTGGAGTGGGCCAGCTGCCATGTAATGTTTGCAGTTCTCCATGCAACATACCTCCACTGTAAACTATGGAATAATATCACCTCTGCACACTTTCCTATTGGTTTTGTAGTCAGAGAAGACACTCTGCTTTTGTAAATTTACCCTGTGTTCATCCCATTAGATTCCCTTTCAGGGAAAAGGAGCTTGCCTAAGGTGAGAGGCAGCATGCCTGTTCTGAACACCCAGAATTAGATAAAAACTGATGGAAATCACTGCGGTATTCACAACCTATTTTTCTTCCAAAGGTATTTTTAGTTTTCACTTTGATTGAAAATTCCACAAACACATGGAAACAGCCTAGATATATATGAGCATATCCCAATTAGTGTCTCCTAACAATGCTCTATCCACTTATCAGACACCTACAGGTCCCATCTCCAATTCCCAATGCACCTTTGGAACCCTATGTCTCTTCTAGGGATGAATAGGATGCTAGCCCTGCCCATGTAGGGATGCTGTGGTTCAAAACCTAATGTCTTCCCCTTCCAAGTCCCTGTGCTCCCTGGCTGTGCAGTGTCAATGGAAGTGGGGCATCCCAGGGTAATGAGCACAGATCAGCCCTGATAATTTAACAATGCAACTGCAAGCTAATATCTGATGAGCGAAACCCAGATATTCAACCAAATAATCAGGCCAACAGACCATATTCGTAAATTATCACAGGCCAGCTCCAAATCTGTCACATCCAGTTTATTTTCTGACACGTAAAAGGCCAGAAATATCTTTCTGCAGCAGCACAAGTAACCTCATTGGGTATTAGACTCATTTCAAGGAACTTGGGAATTGCCCAGTGGGGGCCACAGCTCCTGTTGATGAATCTCAGTAATTATAAAGCAGGGGGTATAGTTGTATCGCCTGAGGGTTTGAAATTCAGTAATAATTGATTGCTTAGCTCCCTACCTGCCTGAGAATTTCCCTTACCCTGTCTCCATGATCCTTGTGGGTCCCTCCCAACTCAGTACATTTTGTTATTCCTTATCTCATGAGGTTTTCCTACTCAGGATCTTGTTAACATTGTTGCTAGAACAAAATGAAGCACTGCCAACTCCTGGCAATATATGAAGAAAACAGCGTTCCCTGTCACCTGGCTCTACTGGGAGACTCTAATCTATCAGGATGAGATTCTGCCCTGACTTTATTCCTGAAAAGGGATTTCCTATTCTCTTTTTGAGGAGGGTGGAGGAGGAAAATGTTACTTTAACAGTCAGGTTGTAGGTGAATGTACATGGAAAAGAAGCCCTGCATATCTCTTCACTTCCCCAGTGTGAGTCTTCACCTACAAGGAGAATCAAAGACTCACTTTTAACAAAAAGGATCCCAGGTTTCCAAATGTGGTTCCATTCAGACTGGGAGAAAGTTTCCCCAAATTTAAAATACTTTTTAAAGAACAGTATTGTGACATAGCCTGGACTTGATTAAAAACTATGCTTTCAATACATATATTTCATTTGGAGTTTGATATTTCATTTATTCCTATGTTGAATAAATTATATACATTAAGTATTTAAAACTTTTTTTCCTCCATAACAGCTAAAAGATGCTTACAAAATTACTAAAACTTTTTGCTTCAAATTCACAGTTTGCTGAAGCATTTTTGTTAAAAAAAATAAAAGAAAAAGAAAAAAAATCCCCTAACCTCTTAAGACTGCAAAGGAAGATGGTCATTACCTCATTACTAGTACTCCTTGCTGACTTCATCTGTTTTTCAATAATGCCTTCACAGGCTGTGCCATTTTTTGCCAATAGAACTTTAACTGAATACCCACAGTAAGGTACGTTTTGTTCTCTTAGTCTTATTGAACATCAGAGGTTTGTTTTCCCTCTTGTTGACAGCAGATCACATTAAATTACTAAAAAGAGCCCAGGACCAAAAACACATTAATTTTCACTTCTATTCTGAAAAGTAACCATATAATGGAGTTATGCAATCACATATTTCTTTTCCTAGTGATTTTAAGGTCAGATATCCTCAGTTTAAAGGTAAAGAGTATTTTTAAAAGTATTATTCCATCTGTTAAGCTACTGCAACTTGTAATTTAAAGATCATAATATTCCTTCCTGATCAACAGTACTTCTAATGAACCCTTCTTTTTGACCAGAAAGTCCCTTTCTTTCAACTTAGGCTTTCAGGAGCACCAATATGAATCACACTAAGGAATCAGTTGGGAGGAATAGGATCTCTCTCTTTCACTTCATTTTAAATATTGTGTATGTTCAGAAATGCCCTACTTTGCACACAGGCATTACATCTGTGTGAGGGATTTGCATCAGTGTGACTAAATTGATTTTGCTGCATCATTGCACATTTGCCTAATGTCAACAAGGCCTTCACTGTTGGCTATGCTGAACTAACAAGAATAGAAAAGTAGCATTGAAAACTTACTTTAAGGTTGTTTGGAGGTAGGATTCTGACTATACCTACAGGGAAAATAAGAAGGGTTGGTTTGCTTTCACATGGTGCTGTTTATAGACAGTTGGTTTTCAAAGAAGCAAAGCTTATCAGAAAATTCAGAGTCTATCAATTTAAGTCAAAGGAACATGCTACAGATTTCCCACCAGAAAGATAAAACTAATCTTATCTTGGGTACTAAAATTTTTATTTGCAGCGGTAACTAGGTAGTAAATAAAATATTCAGCTCTTCAAAATCCTCTGAGTATTTTTAGTTTCTCTCTCATCATGTCCCAAGTGTTGTCTCCACAACTAAACCTAGCCCACATTGGACAACAGGCACCAGGACCAGCTGGAGCCAAACCAACTCTTCTGTTTCATTACACAACTTCTTTGAACAGCCCTGAATAGAGGGTGGGACAACAAAATACAGGATAAACAAGTCACAATCCTGGTTAAAAGCCACAGTCACTAGACACAGGACTGTGTTACTTGGAATAACACCTTCTGAGCCTTTCAACCATCTGTATGTGGACATACCTCAAGACTGCTGCACAGAAATTTCAAGGCTCTAACCTGGCCTCTCAGCTATGAAAGTCTTCTTTGCCATAGCAGACATGGCAATATGACTCATTTCAGCCCCAAGACATAAGGGATGAGATATCCCAAGCTTCTCTCCAATTTGTTCATTCTGCCGTCACTATTTTTGGTATTAATTCTTAGGGGATTACATGATAATGGAACTATTTATGGTATTAATTCTTAGGGTATTACAATGAAATTAAAAGGAGTAGATTATATATATAAGAACTTTGGAAAGAAAATATCTAAACCCCACAGATTTTGCTCTTGCTTACCTTAAGACATTTATGGAGCTAGGCAAATGCTGAACATGTAAGAGCATTTTCTTTTTAAAAATCTTTTTGTTTGGGTAGTATCTTGGGGAGGTAGGTAAGATTTGCCTTTGCTTTTCCACATGCGATTTCCAGCTGCACAGAAGTTCCATCCTGGGGTTGTGACGTGATACACAACCCTTTTGGCAGCAGTGCCAGCGATGAAGTGGTGCCACGTCAGCTGCTCAAATGTTCAGTCATGCCCTGAACACAGCACTCCTGTGTGTTCCAGTTTTCTGGTGGGGGAGAGGATTAACATGCTTTGGTTAGCTGCAGGAAAGAAAATCTTCAAAAATCAATGACTACGCCAGTGGCAGTTCTACTGTGCCCCATCACAAGAGAGTTCTAAGAGCATTGAGGGTACCGTGATGCCCACTTTTCAGCTTCTCAGTCATGCTCTCTTCTGGGTTTAAAATAAAGAGGTGCTTCTTAATTGCATTTTTGATCAGAAATTGAAGGTGTTATGGCTGATACCAACTTTTATATCTGTTGGCTCATTTTATTTAAAATTTCTAATATAAACAGAGGAGTCAAAATGAGGCTTCAATTATGAGCAAGTTCTGGTTAGGAGGGATAAAGAGCCATATATCATGCATGTTGTAGTTAGATTTCCTATGAAATCATGAAGGTGCTGATAGGCCTCTTAGAAATATTTCTACCAAACATTGTCATGTTCTGCCCCTCTTAGATTACCACCTTAGTACATATTTTTCCTCACATTTGGAGCAGTCAGCACTGTGTAGCCGTACAATACTCTGACAAACCTGCTCCTTCACTCATGTGTATTTCCATCCTAAATCAAACGTGAGAAAAGCAAGCAGAGTTTGACCCTAGATTGGAGAGCTTTGCCAAAAGAAGATATGTATTACAGTCACAGGAACCTGACCTCCAGATCTGTGGAGCTGCATATTTATGATTTTCCAGTGCTTGAATAGATTTTAAAATAAGCCAGTCTGTAAATACAAGGCAAAATCTAACTGCAGCATTACGAAGTTGTGCAATGCAGCATTTCAGATTTGTTTTCTTCATAAATCTATGGAACTGTGGGCAATATGTAAGTAAATAACTGCCTAATTTATTTCTTGTACTTCTATTCAAACAAGTAATACCCCAAAGGAATATTCCAGTAATATGTCTAGAGTATAATGAATTTTAATATATTTTTGAGGGTATCATTTTGACATTTCAGGATATAGGACCAAGGATTATGGTTTATGCATCAGAGACATTCTGGACTTAAACACAACTGGATTGAGTTTATAGATATGCACACACACACATGTATATAACAGACATATCTATATTTTATATATATACACATGTATCAATCACATACTTCCTTGGGGAAAAAAGTCTATAGCTCTGATGGCATTTGCACAGAAATTGCATTTTCCTGTCCCATGGGCCTGTTGTGAGGGACCTCAAATACTGAAATATCTCATATATTGTTGTAATTGGAAATAATATTAAATGTGCAGAAGACAGATATCCTAAATGTCAAAATGAAGTTGGAACTCGGAAGTAATTTCTAATTTTCCATTATCATAATCTAGTAAAAGATTAAAATAAGGAGAATATTGCAATTTTTTTCTTGGTGTCAAGTAATAACTGGGTGTATTTTTGCCCTGGGAGACAGTTCACGTCTAATAACATAATTTTCATTTCAGATATTGACCAAAGCAAAATTTTCCCAAGTTATTATTCCTACAGAGATTATACTGCGTTATGAAGAACTTATCAAGGATACTGAAAATTCAGATTCTCAGAAAACATGGTTCAGCATAACTCCACCACAGTAGCAAGAACTAGACCAAGTTGGAATTCCTGACAGTCTGTCACAGTGTTCCTACCCACAGTTTCACAGTTACTGAAACCTTAGTTCACCTTTACAAAATACATAATTTAATTTCTTCGTTTCTGCTTGATTAATCACAGGTGAGTGACAAACTGAGAAGAATTAATGTAAAACCAGATCTGAATAGCAGCAGTATCAAGCAGTGAACATGACAACTCTTTTTCCCTAGAAAAAAATTGAACAACCAAAATAGGAGTGGTAAAAGAAATGTACATTAGCTTAAACCCCCCCACCATTTTCTGATAAAAGGAGGTAGTTATGATAAAACTACATAACAGAATAACCAGTTGTCCACTGATTTGTAAAAAAGATAGAAATTGCTTTAAATTGTTTATAGTTATCCAATAGACCAGTGCAGAATTTTTTCCATTCTGTAGTTTTCTACAGTTTTGCCCTGATAGGAATGCTAAATAGCTCAAGTTAATGATTCCCGCTCTTGCCACTGGAATGATGCCAGTCCGATACCTTTCACAGTGTCAGGTGCATTTGTTAATCTGTTCCTTTCATTTTCCAACCTCATTTTTCTTATGTACTTTCTTTGTATAACAAAAGCAAAAACAATTATATATTATCATTGTCAGTATCTATTTCCAGTGTCTGCAGAGAGCAGGAGCCTGTGCCTTCTGATTTATTTTTCCTGAGTGCATTTACTGTTAATATTCCATTTCAGTCTTTCCATTCCTTTACTCACATTTTGCCACACTTCACTGCCTTCTTCCCAATGTTGCTGCATTCTTGTTTCAGCCTCTAAGGTTTCCCCCCAGTGCTGTGCTGCTGTGTAGCAGTGACATCCCAGTAGGATTATAGGGCTGTGTCAGATCAGAGTCACACAGGACTCATGTCAGCTATACCACACTCTTCTTACCTGTGAGGTGCAGTAGCCAAGGCAGAGAGTTATATTAAGAAAAATGCCTAAGGACTTGTAGAGGAAATATAGGGAGCTGAAGAAAACCAATATTTCAAATAAAAGAGAAGGGTTTCTTCTATTTAACAAGGTAGTGGAAAAAGGAAACTGTGTTAGTGATATTGCAAGCCACTGGAAACTGAGTGATTCAGACAGAAGCAACCAACAATTACCTCCCATATATACCTTGGTGAAAGCAATATTTCACTCTTCTTTCCTCTTCAGGTCCTGTGGCCATCACCAGCTTGGCAGAGGGTGGAAATACAAGCAGGCAGCGCAGGGAAATGAGGCAGATGTGCACCTATGCTTTGGGGTCTATAAGGGCTGGTGCACTGGGATTGAAGAGTACTGAGAACTTTCTGTGATCTGCTCAGCCAGGGCCAGAGCTGTGTGCTGGGTTAAAAGTCCTTCCTCTTGAGTTGCACAGGGAGCATGGCTTAGCTGAAGGAGGAGAAGAGGAAAAGAAAAGAATAGCCCAGGTAGAAACACTCCATCTGTTTGCTCAGACTAGGAGCCTGGAGATCAAAAAGGCTGCACACATTTCAAGCAGATTTCTCTGAAACAGGGACAGAACTGCTTTATGGCTTATGGTAATAGGCTGCTTTTCATGGACTCTCATGTTTAACACAAAAAGAAGGTGGAGAAAAAAAAAAAGAAAATCCTTTTTTGACCAACCCCTAATTCTTTTCCAATGGACTTACAATTTTTAAGTGGAAAGAGATGTCCCTGGCTAGCCTTCCATAGCCTGAACATGGAAATAAATATAACTTTCCTGTAATGATATGCTCCAACACATCCTTAAACAACTGATTTATTCTGTTCTTTTTGATAGTAAGTATATATAAATATTAAAAATGAACCAGAGACAAAATAAAATCTGCACATGATTGTATAGCAAGGGGGAAGATAAAAACATGTTGATTGAACAATATGGAATATAAAAAGAATAGCTATTTCCATAATTTTCTTATTTGCAATCATATGGAGAAATCTTTCAAATACAGAAGATGCCCTGTCTTTTAGATTTTGCTCCAGAACTTGTCATTACAGAACAGTTTCCAAAATATCGAGTAAAAATAAATTTGGGGAAAAAAAAAGATTAGTTCATGGTATCCACTCAAGAATTTTGCACAATTAAATGACAGTGGACTGCCATCCCCTTATATAAATATATAAACTATCTTGAGGAAAGAGAGTGTTGGCAAACATAGTTGCTAATACACCATCTATTTTTCTGATATTCACTGAGCACCCCACAGAAATTAGGTGCATTTCTATACCATCATCACCATTTCTTTTTCCATTCAGCCCTATGAGTACTAACTGGAATGTTAGGGCAGTTGTTGATTATGCAGCTTTGGCAGTGAATTGGTTTGTATCCAAACATAAAACGAGTTGTCTTGCAGAATGATAGAAGGGGATTTATCTTTGCTGAGTCAAATTTCAGTGAAGCAAACAGACCCAGGGTCAAATGAATTAAAGGTCCTGTGTCACTGTAACAAAACTATATTGCTAAACAAGCTTTGGATAGGGTTTGAAGTTTCAAATTCTTGTTTATTCCTCTGGCAATATGGATCACAGGAAATCTTTTAAACCCGTTGTTAGATGCGATAAATGGATATGATTAGTGCTAACTAAATTGTAGCTATATCAATAGTTTAGAAAATAATTGTTACAAAGTAATAAAGGAAAAGTATATATGATTAGTGTTACACAGCAGATGGGTCCCTTTGCAGATGTTACATGTGAAAAATAGGATACAGGATGTAGTACTGAGATAAGCAAGATCCCAAAACAGAATCGGCCTTGGGATGAAGAAAGCTGGGACGATTCCAGGTATGGAATCTAAGTTGTGGTTTTATCTATGAAATAAATAAGGCTTATTTTTGGAACATAATGCTTACTTACATAACACAAAGCTTAGTGTGCATGTGCAACCTGTAAGGTTATTCAGAGGACAGTGAGGAAGACTGTGAGCCTTCCTCTGAAAAGACCACCAAAAAGCCAGAAGCCCCCCTAACAACAAGTGGAGCATGCACTATGCAGTGTGGTGACACAGATTTCAAGAATCAAAAATAGGAGGAGATTTATGGAAAAATATTGATGAATATGTATTAGCATACAGTAGATAAGTTTCGTTTGGATTACTTTGTTTTGTACATGAGGCAGGGTGAAAAGCCCTCCCCTTAACCCGGTCAGTTTTGCTTATGCTTTATATGAACCTTAATCATACTTAATTAATCACTGCCAGATTTTTTTTTTTTTTGCATATGCTTGATTATATTTAATATATGTGATTGTATGCATTTATATAAAATTACTGTTCAATTAAAATTTTTGCTAAATTCAATTTTGTTGTTTATTAATTAGACATATAGAACTAGATTCATAACAAAACTCTACTGCTAAACAAGCTTTGGATAGGGTTTGAAGTTTCAAATGCTTGTTTATTACTGTGGCAATATGGATCCCAGGAAATTTTTTTAAGCTTTTGTTAAAGATAGAAAAATATAAGGAAAAAAGAAGAAGAAAAATATTTAGAATACAGAAAAGTAAAGTCAGGCTTTAATTTTAAAACTCCAAATTGCATTCACTGTTTAAACCCTCTGTGAGAAAAATACTGCTGTTTAAGAGGCTGAGATATAGTAAGAAAGACAAAGTATTGGGTTTTCTATTTGAGAAAAGAGAGTTATTCTGTTCACAGAGATGGGCTGGAAATTCTACTGGAGCTGTTGACAGATCCCAGTCCTTCCCTGGAGAGGCAGGGCAATAGGGGAGAGGGAAATAGACAGCTCAAGAGCTGCAGGGGAAGGAAACTCAGCCTCTGTCTCTGGTGTTGGCCCTGAATAGCAAATTCATTGCTAGAAAATTTTAGGACAGCATATTGTCTGTTGGTCACACAGAAACATGGAATTGCAGCAATGCCCTGCTGTCCTTAACATGGCATTTTGGATGTTTATTAACAGCATCACAGCAGCTCTCCAAAAGACAGCTTTAGTATCTCAAGCAGATTTTTATCAAACAGAAATCAAAGGGAAACACATGTGAAAAAGGAAAGAATCAGGGAGAGAAGGAAAAGTAGAAACCAGGCTGTTGTGCATCTGCTGCCTACCTATCTTTCTGCAGTTTGGGTCAAATTAAATATGTGGGTCACCAGGGAGTCAGAATAGCCCACCACTCATGATTTTGCTTATTAGCAAAGTTTACTGTATCAATTTTGCCCCTGTGATGGTGACAAAAAAATAGTTGGGTCTTGGAGTCTGTCCTCCACAAGCACCAACCCCCCTCTCCCGTGCACTCTTGGAATATGATCTGTCCTAAGATAAGAACAGCAGGTGGGAATTGCAGGAGGAACTGTCTGGATGCTTGCATAATTAATGCATTCCAGAGGTGGGGGAGTGCTGACGGTTGTGATTGATCTTGGTACACATGGGCCTGCAAAAGGGTACAAAATGCTCCTGGAGCCTGGGCCAAAAGGCAAAGTGACCTCCTGAGGCTGCAGGGCAGCTTCCAGGTGGATCCCCCCCTGCAGGGACACCTGCAGGGCACAGCCAGCCCGAGGATGGGAACACTCAGGTTTGCACAGGTGAGTAAAAGGTGGAGATAAAATCCTAATGCAGCTCCATGGGTGCTTTGCAATAGTGCTTTCTGCAAACCTGCAGAGTTTCCAGCTGACCCTGTCTATGTTATAGCACTTCAGACCTGCTTAAATTATACATTGCATTGGCAATATTTAGATACTTCATCAGAAAAAAAATATCATCATAATCGCCCACATAATCAGAGTCATACTTCTTACACCTGACTGAGAGTCTTCTCTCAACTACTCTGCTAGACTACTACTGAGTCTAGTCTCACTTTTTTTATCTTTACTGGAAATGATTTCAGCATAGTCCTTGGGGCTTTTCACTGGGTCTTGTTTTCTTGAAGAAGCTTTTATTTTGTGTTTAATTTTCACTGATCTTTGCAAATTGCTTTATGTAACAGTCAGAGCTATACACTGGTCACCTTGAACTATTTAGAGCATAGGCCTTGGCACAACACTATCTAATTTTTCTTGTTTGCAAGGACACTCCTTATCTTCTCTAAGGAATAAAAGTCTATATAGTGGTCACTAAAGATATTAGAATGCTTTTTATAAGATTAAATGCATTCATACTGCTGTCCTGTCTAAACAATACAAAATTTTATCATTCAGGACTTTTTACTTGACACACATTCTCAAGGGGAGTTAGTGTAAAACAGCTCAGACATCTCTGACATGTCTGACAGGCTGTAAGGGAAAATGTGCTGTGGTTAAAAATTCTGGTGTCTTCTTTGACAAAACCTACATATTGCAAGTTTGGTGTGAGGACTTAAAAACTGAAAGAAAACAGATTTTGTGTCAGTGACAGGTATATGAAAAGTCTTGGTGCATGTTTAATAAAGATGACTCTGATTGAAACAGAACACTCTCCTAAGAGGTCCCATTTGCTACGGATGGACATGAACTGTAAGAGTCTACTCTACAAAAGAAAAGCAAGGATCTGCCTTCCTCAGGTCCCAGCAACACAGTTGTTCAAATCAAGAGTACAGAGTTCTTCAAATGCACTGTGAAGAATTTTTCAAACAGAGATAGTGGATACCAAACCTATTATAGATGAGAAATGGGGTCATAAGAAGGAGTTGGGGAGTTAGGGCAGTTCTGCCAAGAAGATTGGAAGCAGAAGTGTCATACTGGGGAGTGAGCAAAGAGCTAATCAGATTGGGAGATCAGGAGCTGGGACCCACTGTGTCTTCCTGTAGGAGCAGATGAGGTGTAGGACGAAGTGGGGAAAGAAAAAGAACAAGGATGGTGAGAGGCTGGAGGAGACACAGTGGGTTACCTTAAATCTGGAATATACATCTATCCAATTACCTGCCATCCCAGCCAACAAGCAAATCCTCAGTTCATGTTTCTCACCAGTGCCCATCAGCAATCCTCTTCTGGGAGGGCTTTACTCAGAGGATGACAACCCATGACTGGCAGCGGCACTCCATTAACTCAAGTAGCAGAAATCTGTGCTGAGGCTGCAGTTGCTCATCTGCTGAGGAGAACGAGGAACCAGGATAAAATTCATCTTTTTCCAGCTTGTTTTAAGTTTTCTTTTTTTTCTACTTAAGAAAATAAATAAAGAATTTGTTAAAGAACATTACTGAGACTGCTAAGTAAAGCAATTGAAATACAAAATAGAAGAATCAAATAAATTATGTTTATTCTGCTTAATTAATTTCTCCTAATGTGATATTAAGAGCTTATCTCCCCTGCTTATCCCACTTTGGTCTGATAAGCAATTAGCCCAAACTCATTTAGAGCAGAGAATATGCTAATACAGCATAAATATTTCTTCCAGTATATGTTCTTTCATGCATTTTCTATACAGGCTTATTTTGCCCTATCTCTTAGTACAGAATGAGAACAAGAATGCGACTATGCACTCACCCTGATTTATCAGTTTTGGACATTGTTCCTGCTGCCCTTGCATTTAATCTCAGTTGTTTCTAGACTGTGCAGTCTGGTCACAGACTCTTTCCACCTCTGCGTGAGATCTAGAATATTCTGGGAGTGACTTATGGAACAATAATGCCATAGCAATTTCCTCAAATATCTCCAAAATATAAAGGACCCTTTGCTCACTCGGAGCAATAGTTTATTGCTGCCTGAGAGGAAAATGGAAACCTAACCATATTTTTCAAAGGAAAATAGGGGCCCATATTTGTGTCTTGGCTTGCATTCCCTCTCTCTTTGAAACAAGCCTCAATGTTCCAGCTTACATAAGCTATGGCTGAACAAGCCAGATCAGCCTAGAGAAACAAGGACTCCTATCAAAACTTACTGTTTTCAGAGACTAAATCCAGCATTAATCCAAGAAAACTACTGAAATTGTTGAAGAGTCCTAGCTGTTCCCAGGGCTTGTGGCTGCTCTACCCGACTGATACCCTGCACAAGGGCAGAGCTGCAGCTGGAACCCAAAGGAGAAATCATTTATTAGCAGATTATAACAAAAGGTGGGCATTACTCACTGTGGCAGGGGCTCTCAGGGCCATAGGATCAGGGCACAGGAGGCGGCCAGGCAGGGCAGGGCAAGGCAGGCAAGAATGCCATTTGCTTAATTTTGTCCCCAGTTAGTGCTGGGAGCTTATCTGCACCTCTTGTCACTGCCCGGCCTTTTAGGGAATTAACTCAACCTCATTTACATCAGAGAATATTCTAATACAGTCTAAGTGTGTCTTTCAGTCTATAATTGAATGCTCTAATTATATAACAAATTTGAATGTCACAATGTAGATTTCCTTCATCACAGCTGTGTTCTGGGACCCACGACCTTCATCTTGATGCTCCCACTGCATAAAGGCAGGTTAATAAAGCACATGGTCTCACCTGAGGAACAACATGTTGTATGAGTACATGCAATGTGTCCTATTACTGGTGAGGCCAGTGTGAGCTTAGGTTTATATCCCCTTGCTGCTGTCAGCCTTGCAAGCAGCAGGTGATCCAGGCAGTGATATTTCAGTCAGATATTTCAGAAACTATGAAAATAAGCCTGTTCTTTGATGCATCCCTATTCAGAAAAGTGTGTAAACATGCAGGAAACCTCTCTTCAGTAAGTGCTTAAAAACAAGGCACACATTTAAGACTCCCTCCTGAATAAAGCTCTTTACTTCAACCACTATATGCATATAAATACATATGGATCTTGATGGACAAACTCCCAATGTTTTACACACACACACATTCTCACACACATCTATACCTGTATTTAGTTATTTAACTTGGAGAACAAGAACAACCTCATTTTGGAGATGAGGTTAAGCCTCTGTGAAAGTAATGAAAAAATTCCCATAAAGAAGACATGTAAGAAACACTTGTGCTCCTTTATGGAGGTAGGTATCTAAAATAACAGCAGTCTGCACTCAAAACATAGACACAGGCTGCTGCTTAGGACATAGGAATATATATAGCTCAAGAAGGTGGAAAAATTTCACCAGCTACCATTGAGGAATCTGGGCTGTGTGTGGGCTTGATATTATGAGAAATGTAGAAGAAAGCTGGGAACAGACTGTAGAGATTTACATTTCTAAAGAAGCATAGATTTAGTGCTTTTGAGTCAAAACTTGGCTAAATAAATGACTGGGAATTGTTGCAGAAACAATATACCTTGAATGTATTCAGTGTGCCCCCTTATTTCAATGGGAATCACCTCAAAAAGCACACTCAGATCTAAGTTCAACCTTAATATGCAAAAAACAACCTGTTAGATAATGCAAATAAAAAAAGGACTACTTATTTTATAGATACTACTAACCTTGCATATCAACACCAGATTGCACACCAAATATTTATGGTTAAACAACAGAACTGTCTCTAATACAACACAGTTGATTAAAGACCTTTGATCCCGTCCAGGTAATGAAAATAAACCATCATTGCTAATGACACCAGTAGACTCTAGATACCTTTGGAGATACATGAAAGGCAAAGCTCCTTTAATCAGGGATCAAGTAATTTCTATTGGCATGACTACCTGAATCCCACACCTGCCAAATCTTGACATGGATTTCCTCCCCAGTCCACCATGGCTGCAGCAATTACAAAGTGGTGCCTCAGCACAAGGTTTTTCTTGGCTCCTTGAAGTATTTGGTACAGTGCTTGTGCCTGGACAGCAGCTACTCTCTGCATCTCTGGAGCAAGAGCATTATTTCCCTCCCCTTTGGTAAGGTTCTCGACTATTAGCTCCAGTGGCAAGCTAGCTAATGCAATTTTGCTTTGCAGAGCAAATAAAGCACTTAAGGAGAACCTATTGGATCCTCTTTGCAGCCCCATGTTATTTTTGCTGTAGAAGGTAGCATCTTCCATTTCTTACCACCATTCCTTGTTGTTTCCAGCACACACAGTTGGGAGTGATCACCATCATTCCTGTCAGGTGGGTCTTCTTCACACACTGGATCATCTCTGGGGGAATTCTTGGGGGTTGTCATTCAGAGGATGCACAAAAATGATATCCTATGCTCCCTGCTGCCTGTGATGGAAGCAGAGGTGGTGGTATCAGTTCAACTCTGTGCTGAGTTCAACACTCAGACTTTTTCATAGACACTTCCTTTTTTCTCAAGGCATCTAGTTTTCCTAGCATCTTTGATGTCTCTGTTTTCCAGGATCTATTTTAGCATTGTAATTACATGTAAATAATAATTCTAAAAAGTTTTGGGTTTTTTTTTGATCTGGAACTGAATATCTTGAATTTCCATATGCTGAAATGAGTGGTGGAAGACTCTCCTATTTTTACTGTCAGTCTTTCCTAATTAGTCAGAAATGGGATATGGACAGGACTGGCAAGCTCTGCTTTCTCAGAATTTGTGTTTTCTAGCATGACTTTGATGCTTGGTATTAAGCTTTCAAGGATGTTTGCTTTGATAACTGAGAATCCTGTCTGGCTTACTTCTTTTACTGGGTTATGTATCTTCAGTTTTTTTCAGGTCTATGGCTCAGTAACACAGTGCTACTAGTACAATTTATGCTTCCAAGAGATGTGCAATCCACCCCACGGAATGCTGCTGCTTGTGATGCCTACACAGTAGCTATGTAGGATAATGCTAAGCAGCCCCAGAAATCAAATGTAGCCTTGCTTCACACCAGTGTTCAAGGTGAACCAGCCTCTTACTTAGATGGACTCCCAGACGCAGCCATCCACCCTTCTCTGCAAGGCTGTGATGACAGAGTAAGAGCCGAGTGCTGAAGCTCCACAAGGCATTCCTGAGGACCATGTAAAGCAAAATAAACAAACAGTAAAAAAAATCAATGAAAAATTATCAATGAAGGTGGTGATGAGCAAAGCATGCCATTGCACGTGTTCTTTCAGGATGCACTTTGCATGAATATCTGGTTGTCTGGGCCTGAGTCCAGAGGCTGCAATCAGTCTAGAGGCTCCTACAATCCTGTGTCATCTTGAGTGGTATTCCACTGCAAATTACCTCCCCTACAGCATAGGGAAGAGAGATACCTATCCATTCTCACATTTTAAGATTTTAACAACTCCATGTTTTCTCTAGTAAACATTTGGCATTTTTTCCTAGTTTTTTTTCCCAACAACTTTTAAAATTTTACTTCTGCAGTGACATTGTGGTCTCTTAGCATTTCTACTACAACCAAAATGTCTTTCAATGCATTTTGCTGCTACCTACTGGACAACAACTTGCTTTTTTGATGTCATCAGCGCACCAATGGCAATCTCTTTTTAAAGAGATTCACATCATCTCATGTTACAGAATCTCATGTCCAAGTAGGGCTAACTTTCTGCTGCTGACTTATTCAAAATGCTTTGCTGATCCATATTATATCTGTTGTACGTATTTCCCTATCTTCACTTTTGATCAGCCACTTCCTGTTTAAACTACCCACACAGGATTTTTGTAATTTGGCAAACAAGGTCTGTGGTTTCCTATCAGGGCACGAGTTTCAATTTCAAGTGTCAGGTATTTGATACATCTCTGTTCATCTTTGCATCTTCACAGAGGACATTATTTGTCATGGAGTTGTTTACTCTCAGGTTCCTTCCTGTAATTCCACACACTTTTCATTGTCTGAGCAGTGTGGAAGATCAGACAGCTGCAGAAGCTCCTGGCCCTGGTACAGTGGAAGCCATGGGAGAGATAAACTCAAGGCAAGAACAAAAGTGAATACATCATATCTGGTCACTCTGGTCCCTCTGAGGAGAGAAGGTGTAGCAAGGACATTGCTGGCACAAAAGAATGTAACAGGGACTTAAGGAGTAAGGGGTACAAGTGGAACATTTTGCATGGCCATTAGAGAACTATAAATACTGGTGATTACTGTAATAAACTGGCTTTGCATGCATAGCATGGTCCATGTCCCTTCAATGACCATACAGCACTATAGAATTTTTATTTCTGAGTTTTTATTTTCTTTATGAGACACCCTTTTTGGGCTTACCAGACTTTTCTGCTTAACATTACAAAGACCACCACTGATACCACCAGTTAGTTATACAGAACATCTGACCCTGCAGGGTGTTTGTGTCAGTATCTATTTCTGAGTTTTTTTGCCATCTGGTAAGACCCACATGTTTGAGCCAGCAAGGTGCTTAAAAATACATCAAACAACAAGTACAGATCAGTCTGTCTCCCACCATATTGGTACTCAAACTATTTTAATACATTCACATACATTCATTCACACTCAAACTATTTTAACACAAGGCCTAGGTAGGCTACGTGCCCCCAAGTCTGCTTGACTAAAAAAAGGTTGCTAACCTATAAGTGACAATACAAGCACTTAAGCCAAGCAAGATATGTAGAAAAAAAAAAAAAGCTGAAACAAGAACAGAAGTGAAATTGTTGAGTTGGCAGCAGTCACTTGCGGAAAAATTAACAACTAAAATAACTCTAAAACTCTGAGAAAAAAAAATAGAATATAGCAACTCAGCAAAACGGGGATCATCCTATTGCAAGGAGCAATGGAGTCTGGCACTTCCCCGTGTGATTGCCATCTGCCTGAGCAGCAGAAATCCAGTGGTTACCTGCATCAGAGGTGGTGAGGGTATTAATGCTTAGGCTAATAGCACATTACTCACAGCCATTTATTGTGTGTACAATTCAGCAAATAGCATAATTGCTCCATACTCATAAATTGTGTTTGTGATCCTGCTTTTGAACCTCCATGCAGAGGAAAAGACACCCATATAAAAGTGAACAAAAATGCTGAGAGGGGTATACCACACCATTGCTCTATTTCTTGACCGCTATATTCATCTTTGCTATTAAAGTGATCCATGAAAACAAATAGGCTGAGTTTTAGTATTTATTTCCTACTATGAAGGCCATTTTGGAAATGCATTTGTGTGTTCTTCTACACATTTCTCTGTCATAACCAACATTGTGCAACCTCTGTTTTGGCATGTGGGGTGCCGTGCATTGCTCAGATCACCTGTTTGGTTGGCACACTTCCTTCTTCTCCATCCTAGTTGCCAGATGACAACCTGGAGTGACTTCCTGGAGTGACTCAGCCTCCAATCTGGCTGGCTTACCTGTCACTGCCCCTGTCATCCACACATGGGCATGAGTCAAGGGAGGATGTGGGTGGAGATGGAAACACGGCCCAATTACAGAATGAAGGGTGCAGGTGGGAACACATTAAATTAATATTGGTAGAGTGGAAACTCAGGCTTTATTCCTAAAATCTTAAACTCTATTTACCTCTTAAGATGACTTCCAGCAATTGGGATGGTCTTGAAATCTAGGAATTTGGTGTTCATAGATACATAATAGATTCAGGCAATATTCTGTGTCATCCATTAGCTGAAGAAGCTAGCCATCAAATCTGGAAAAAACAGAAAAAAAATAGCTAGGAACAAACGTAAATAAAACTTATTTTTGAAGTTGAAGTAAGCTATTGTTTTACTTCAGCTTAACAAGATTAAAAAAAAATATTAAACAGTGGTGGGAGTATGAAGGTTTGGAAGAAAATGCTGAAGAAGATAGAGGGATGAGAAAAACTTACAATTTATTTTATGGAAGCCCCATGCTGTCCATCAGCTCTAATCAGGGTCATCAAGGAGACAGTCCTTCCTTCCTTGACATTGGAGAAGGAAGGAAGGAAGGAAGGGTGAGTCTGCTGTCCTGTACATTTTTGCTGCATGAGCAGCTCTCAGTGACCGGCCACCACCTGATGATCTGCCCAGCAACACAACCCTGGCAGCCTGCCAGCACTTGGTGATTTAGTCCAGCAGCATCACTGAAAACTTTCTTTCTCCATTGGTGAATGGATCAGCACAGATTTGTGACCTCACCAGGCTTAACACAGTCAACAAAATACTTCTTGTGCACACACAGTTGTTTATCAAGTCATGCAAACATGCAGTGCTGCTGTCACCTCAAAGTAGCAGAGTTAATTTTAGAACACCCTGATGTTTCCTGGAAGTCAAGGGAAATCAGGTTCCAATTGAAATTTGGGCATAAGGGTAAATGTCTGCGAAACCATGGCCTGCATACATGACCCAATGCCTGGTTTCTGTTTTCTGGTGTACAAATGTTAAAAGAAATCCTTCAGTTGTGAAACTACCCAAACTCTCTTGCAACATGACTAGGACCTTTGTTTCCTCAGATGTAATAACATGCATGACAAAGAAAATGCATGAGTTGTGAATAGATGACTACATATAGCTTTCAGGGCTAAAAAAGATGACTTTCCATGACTCACAATTAACCTTACCATCCTCAATTCCCATCATTAATTTTTGCTGCAAATGAGCAGCTTCCTAGAGAAGAACAAGACCCAAATTACTGTTGAAGCTGAAGGAATGGGGATTGCAGCTCACCTTCTCCATCCTGAGAGCTGTATGGACACCAAGCAGCTAACGCTGATCCACCGATCACAAAGCCCACAGGGAGTCCAGACAACCTGCCCTTTTCCCTATAAAACTGGCTGAAGCTGGAGAAGGAGCTGGGACATCTAGGAGGATGATGTAGACACAAGTCATGAACCCAAGAAAACCACATTCCCATGGTTCGCACACTGCACTACAAATATACCTGTTAACTACCAGTGGTGTCACCTGATGGGAGCATATCAAACCAATATTTAAGAAAAAAATAACTCAATCACTAACCAAGCTAGTGAATCCTATTGATATCATATGTGGGAGTTTTGAACACATTTTGAAGGGAGTAATTATTGATAGGTGGATAAACGGGAGAAGAGATTAAAATGCATTGATGAATTGAAAAAAATAGATCATGCTACAAATCACTTTCTTCAATAAAAATGGAGACAAACATTCTTTCAGGATACTGGAAAAAAATAACATTTGATATAAATCAAGCCCTAATGAAAGTGTTGAATGATGCTTATATAATTATGTCACATTTGACATGGTGTGCATTCAATACACACTATGGTGATAGGTAATGTAATTTAGGAACCCATAACATAGATAATCAGCAAAAAGTAGATCAGTAAGTAGGGCTGACCATTATTCCTCTTCCTGCTTACAATCTCAAGTCTTTCAAGTCTTTCAAACACATTGTTTGAGTATTATAAGCTGTATAATTACATTTCTTATCTAAATTGTGACTGAAGTGTGTGATATATACAAAGGCGCATGTAATGGAATTCCATAAGCCTGTGAAAAATATGGTCCCAGGGGAGAGAGAGAACACCTGAGAAATTAAGATACAGCCCCAGGAAATCAGTGAAGGATATGAAAAGGAAGAGGAGAACGTTCCTTGTAAAGGAACTGGGAAGGGAATTCAAACACCAGAAAAATGGTGTGATGCAGGCCTGAGAGGATCCTTTGCAGCAAGGATATCACATCTGACTCGAGTGCTCCAGTGTATTCTCACCACTGCCCTGGTTATTAGCATGGGAGCTCAAAGTGAATTGTCACTAAACCAAACCAAACCTACACTCAGCTGCTGTCTTCTGTGTAAGAGGGAGGGGATGTTACATCCTTTAGTAGGAACAATGCGACTTGTGGTTTGCACAGCATATCCCAAATTCAGACAGAGTAAAAACTGAAAACAAAGCCCTTTCAGCCTTAAAAGATTCAGTATAGGAACATAAATTTACCCATTTTTCTGGACAGCTGTTCCCAGACTTCCTCCTCCTACATCCTTTATGAAACCACCAAAATGCCAGAAACTGCGACACAGATTCAGTGCATTGTATTCCTTCTTCTGAACAATGCTTTCCCATCTGGTTTCCTGATTTTGTAGGTGATAAATTAATGACTGCCACTGGTACTTCCTGGGATTGCATGGTTGGGTTTTTCCACAATGCTTCTATCAACTCATGCCCTTCTTCTGAGAAAAAAAGTTCTAGATTTAGGTTAAACCACCCCTGATACAAATGATCAGTTACCCCCAGCACGGCTCTGTGGATTGAATAGGCTGAATTGAGATGTGTTTTCTTCATAAAAGGTATCACTGCAGTAAGAAAAGCCCATTGATCTCTTAGGAAGAATTAATTAGACAGAAAAGAGATATTGAAAGAACCTGAGCTGAATTGGTGAAAATAGGGAGAAAAAGACACAGCGGTGGCTGGGGAAGTGAGGTTGTTAAAAGAAAAGAAAGCAACAATGAGTTAACCAAGGGGTGAAAGTATATGATGCATTATTTCATACAACATCATTGAAAGTATGTCAATATCAGCAGATTCCTTGCAGCCCATGGCGGGTGAGCTGCAGCCAGCTTTGTATCACTCGCCAGGCGAGGAGCGCCTCGTGGGGCCCTTGTTCAAGTCCTAGAGTGGTTTAAGCAGCTTAAACTGCTTTATAAGCTTACAGTATCTAAGCCTTCAAAGCTGCTTAAAGCTATTTAAGCTGCTTAAGACACTTTAGTCTGTTGGCGTGTGCAGTGGGGCTGTACCAACACCCTGGCCTGCAAAGCAGAGTCCACCTTCATATTTATAGGTCCCAGCAATGAAATCACCTCACCTGGGCTGCCCTGAGCAATCTCAGCTCAGTTGAGCTCTCTCCTCTCCGGTCACAGAATCACAGATCATCTCGATTTGGGAGAGACCCTTAGAGGTCAGCTACCCCAACCCCCATTGTCTAATTGTCCCTCCCTGTACTTTGGGATTAAGGCTGCCCTTGATACCTGACATGCTTGTCCCAGGGTCTTCGAAATTCTGCAAGTTTTTTAGTGCCATGGATCCATGGGTGGGGTGTCTAATGATGTACCTGATGCAAGCCACATGTATTCTGTCAGTATTTATCCATTTGCACAGCAAAATTCACGAGCTCCAGTGGTTTTCTTATGAGAGAAAGTTTTTGTGCATTATGAAATCCTTATTCTTGTGTCTAAATGTCCTGTATAGTTTTAAAAGAAGAAAAGAACCAGTAGATATTCACTGAAGTATAGACCATGAACAATGAAACGAAATATTTATAAATTTCAGGAAAGTAATAACCCTGATCCTATCATTGAGGATCATCTTTTGCTAGATTAAAATAACAATGGTGGCTGAAAACACTTGCAGTTTACAGTCGTATTTTTGGTTAACTACAATTCACTCTGATGAGCACAGTTTTCTCTAGAAGACATTTTTGAGCTAGTTACTTTCATATGAAGTAGTGACTAGAATTTGTCAAAAATGTTATATGGGTTTGAATTTCTAACAAAGAGCATATTTTTGGAAAAAAACCTTGGTTTTAAATAGTAAAAAAATGAAATCGAAAAATAAATGGGTTTGCTCAGTTTTACTTTGTATGATTTTAAAGAGATTTATTTTGATCTAACACAAAAAAATATCATATTGCAGAATGCTATTTTACTTGCACAGTAATTCTGGTTGGCATTTTTTTGTGTATATGAGGGCTCTGTGCTCCCCTAGCTAAGATATATATATATATATACACACACACATATAGATACATATATATATATACACATATAGATACATATATATATATATATACACACACACATATATATGTGGTACACCTTGACTGCAGCATTTTGATTTTTGAATGTTGAAATGCTCAGTTGTAATTCAAGCCCTTAAAACTTCCCAACATTCTCAAAACACTTAACTTTTTTTTTCTCATTCACATTCTTCTAATTTTCCAAAATATAAAAATGTCCTAAAACTTTGAATAAAAATAATTACTAAAGTAGAATTTCTCACAGGTTGAGAAGCCTGCACTTGTTAGTTTTACTAACAAGTATCAGTTGACTAACAACTATGCTGTTGTTTTGCAGACCCACTGGCATGAAAACAACATTTTGTCCTTTTTCATTGGCAAAGATTATTTGATCTGTGTTTATTCTGGATACGTTTGTTTAATTCCTCATTTGAGCACTATCATAAATGATTAGGTCATTATTGCCCTGGGAAAAGAACTAGTTTAATAATTAACTTGTACTTGCAAAGCTCTCCAACAGCTCAGAAAAATACAGTAGTTTGCACATGAATCATAGAAGTATAGATTTGGATGGAATCTCAAGGGGTTATGTAGTTTGTTATGCCTCAATATTTTTAATCAAAGCTGTACCAAACCTTTCTGAGGTAAAATAAAAACAAACCAAAAAACCCACAACACAAAATCAAAGGAAAGATGTTAAAAAAAAAATACTAAATAACAACCTGTGCAATATTCCATAACAGCAATTGAATGTACTCAGAACTGCACATAGAATTTTCAAATGCTTTCTTAGTGAAAATATGTTATGGATTACCATGTAATAATTTGTATGCTCTGTCACAGTTCCAATCATCTCAGCCACCTGCTACAAAACATGCACCTGGGCCATCTCCTAGCTTCAAAGAAAGTCCACAACTGTCTTGATAAGTGCAGATGGCAGTCCCTCTGATTTGTATCTAAAATCAATAATGGCAAATATTATACAACCTTCCTGGGTAATATATTCCAGCAGTAATCTTTTCTTCTAGTTAGAATGGGCTACTGTCTTATTTATTGTAGTATAGCTGAAAAATGTTTCCTCAACATTCTGTGTGTCCTTAGTGGGCATCAAAAACCATAAAACTACCTTATTTGTAATAGCCTTTTATGTACTCACGCTGTTGAATGCCATATAACCTTTATTATTATTATTATTTTTTAAGATTAAAATAAAACAAGAACTTGCAACCTTGCTTTATGTATCCAATTTTCCAATCTCCTTGTTGATCTCTGGATTGCCTCCAGCTGATCTACATGTTTCTGAAATTATGGTGCCTCAGAGTAAAATGGGATTTTAGTTGAGACCTCACTAGTCCCCAGAAGAGCATCTTACATACACTGTCTTGAGCGGACAATTCAAGAAAATCTAGAATTACATTTATCTTTTCCTCAACCACATCACACTGTTAGCTCATTCATGGCCCTCATTAATCACTAGATCTTTATCTGCAGTGCCATTTTGTGGTTATGCTTTAGATTTCATCCTCCCCAATGTTTCATCCTCTGTGATCGCCTTTGTTAAAATTTTTCATGTTGAATTTCACAACCGAATAGGATATTTCTGAATTCTAACTCTGTCCTTGAGCACATTCTGCAAATCTTTACAAATTGTCACCTACCAAGCTTATAGGTGTATAATTATTTAATTCTGTCATCTAAATCCTCACTGCAAAGTTAACAGAAGTCTATTCATTAGGAGCTGTGCAAGACATCTCCATGTGCAGCCACCAACCACCATGTATTAGGTTTACTTTTTGAATTAGGAGTGATTTCAAATGGAACAGCTTTCCCCAGTTCATTTATGAGCATGCAGGATGATGTTAAAAGCTTTACTCGGGTCAAGA